TTAATCAGGAAAGATCGGTGTTAAAAATTTCGGCATGAGGCGCAGCATTTGATGTCTTTAGATACGGCGCACCATAGTATTTTTAGTATTTTGAGCCAATTAATTGATTATAGATGATCTGCACCATAAATCAATAAAATTTAATTTTTTGTTAAATTTCAAATTTAGTTAAAAGATTTTCAATTTTATTTATTGTTTTAATTTATCTTATTATAAAAATTGCAAGTTCATTGATCAAAAAAAAAAAACATTTAAAACATCATGTGGGCATGTAACACTAACCGCAGCAATTATCAAACAAAGTGAAGTAGAAATCAGGGCTGGAAATAGGATCTGAAAAAAAAACGGAAATTCTTCCTGAATGCTAAGAATTTTCCGGAAAAAAAGGAAATTTTTTGGGTACTAAAATTTTTTTCAAATTTAAGAATTTTCTTTATTTTATTCTTCTGTTTTATTTTGAAGAAATTTACTAAGAGCATCACTAAAATCATAACAAAATAAATCATTAATAAATGCAATATGTCATTTTCCATTGCATTACATAATCTGTTTTGAAAATATTCTGTTTGCTAAAACCTCTTTCACAATCTACACTAGAAAATGGAATCAAGTGCACTATTTCTATAAGTTTTAAGATATGAATAAGACTTGGAAGTTTGGAAGTTGGAATATTTTCTTTTGCCATCTAGTAAAATCATTTTCATTATATTAATTATATGTTTGTTACCATTATTAGTGGTTTTTTGGAAGAATCTTGCATGGTTATTCTTGCCTTTTCTAGAAGCAAAGAACCATTATGTTGGTTTGAAAGTGCATGAGTTGCTAGAGCAGTAGATTTTGAAACATTCTTTGATCCTAAATAATAACATTATAATATTAGCAAATTAATAATTGCAAAATGCAAAATTAATTATATTTTTCCTGCAAATTGATTTTTTTTTTCACATGTGCTTTACAAATTGTGCAAAACATTCTCTTCATTGCTGCATCATATTTTAACCATTTATATATGTTTAGCCATTCATGATGAATGAAAACTTTTTCCTGATTTTTAAAATGCACTTTTTATTTGACATTTTAATATTATCTGAGCCTTGAATTGTCAAATCATCTGAACCTTCTATATCTGATTCATCAATATTTGTTTCATCTATGAATGCTTCATCCCAAATTCCAGTAGTCAAATTATCTAATTCTTCTTATTTTATAATTTATTTTTTTGAATAAGGAAAAACAAATACACATAAATTCATACTTAAAGTGTATACAGTATTTTAAATTCAATAATTTAATAGCAGTGAAATAAGATTTAAATTAAGTTAATATTTTTCTTCTGAAAATTCAAAAGATACAAATTATGGTTCTTTTCTAAAATATTGAAGTAGTGACACATATATGTGCGCAAAATTTTTTAAAAGAAGGAAAAATATCCGGGATTAAGAACACCTTTGTCGATATTATTCATATTTCTCTGCAACAAATTAACAAATAAGTTCAATAAAGTGGTCTAGCTTATCGTTAGCAAATGTCTATTATCTGTCTTTTTTTGTCTCAGGCTCTGAAAAACGTATAGAACCTGAATACAATTTCAACAAACTCCATGGTGACTTGATTTTTCAAATGTCAAATTATACATCAAGTCGTGCCTCAAACAGAAGGGTCATATGATTTAGTTATTTGTATTTATCATTACAACTTAATAATCATAAAGAAACTGTAGTGAAAACCTCAGGCAAAAAAATCAAAGAGCAGCATAGTGGAAGTTTGTTGTTACACGAAAACTCATTGCTTCTGAAACTTCGCCGGTATATAGTTGTTACATCAGATCAAGTCAGATCCAATTCAAATCCAGTTTATCACTTACTTTTTATTGCCAGAATGTTTGCCGTGTATTGTAAAGCTACGTTGCACAATATAAAAAATTAGTGTACCATTTCAAATTTCCATTACGCTTCAAAGGACTTTAAATTTGTGTTTACTTAATTTAGAATGTTGCTTATTTTATTTTGAAAACAAATCTGTTGCCAGACAATAAATATTATTATTGTTCCATTATAACAGGATTTTTACAAATTCATAATCACTTGATAAAAAATTATTTTATATATAAAGATGATTGTTCAAACAGCGAAAAAAATTATTTTTTAAAAAAATAAAAATAAAATTATAATTATAATAATAATAAAAAATCAAAAAAATCAAAAATGTATGATAATAATAATAATTCCGATTATAACGGTTTTAATTCTAATGGGCAAATACAAACAAGGAGTATCACTAATCAATACCCGGCTCCTAATAATACAATTTATCAAAACTCTGAAGACATTTATCAAAATGTCGGTGACAATAATTACGCTCATCAACAAAACATGATTCATAATTATCTTATTCATCAAAACCAAAACCATGAAGAAATTTATCATAATAATTACGTTCGCCAAAACATGGTTCATAATACAATTTATCAAAACTCTGAAGATATTTATCAAAATGTCGGTGACAATAATTACGCTCATCAAAATATGATTCACAATTTTATTCATCAAAATCCTGGAGAAATTTATCATAATAATAATTACGTTCGCCAACACATGGCCCATAATACAATTTATCAAAACCCAGAAGACATTTATCAAAATGTCAGTGACAATAATTACGCTCATCAACAAAACATGATTCATAATTATCTTATTCATCAAAACTCTGGAGAAATTTATCAAAGCATCGGTAATAATGATTACGTTCACCAACACATGGCTCATAATACAATTTATCAAAACCCAGAAGACATTTATCAAAATGTCGGTGACAATAATTACGTTCATCAACAAAACATGATTCATAATTATCTTGTTCATCAAAACCCTGGAGAAATTTATCATAATAATAATTACGTTCGCCAAAACATGGTTCATCAAAATTATAAGCATGAGGACGTTTATCAAAATGCTGGTGATGAGAATTACATGTGTCAAAAGATGATTTATAATCCACAAAACAATTTCATCGCTGAACAGAACTCAAGTAATATTACAAGCATTAATCATCAAAATATTGTTGACAGCTATTTCGTTGGTCAAAATAATTTCACTAATCATCAAAACTCTACCATCGTCAACAATTTGACTAAAGATCAAACGTTCCTACCCAAAATGTCGTAAATAAATTGCTGGATAACAATAATAACTGATGTGTTGATATCAATGTTAATAAGCAAATCGATTTTAAATAACAACATTGGTGAAGTCAATCATTTCTACTAATCCTATTTATTTTTTAAGTATTACTATTACTATTTATATTTTTATATTTTATATTTTATATTTTTTGGGTTAAGCAATTATCATTATATATTATTATTATCAACAATAAAATTTGATTTTTCGAAAAAATTTAAAAATTGGCCATATTAATATGCAATGACCACACACTTAAAAATTACTCTTATTGTCATATTAGCAAGGTACACTCACTAGACAAAACTCAGGTGCATTTTTAAACAAAAATTGCGCAAAAACATACTTAATAATAATTAAATAAAAAACAATTTTTTGCAACTTAGGTTCACCAAATTATATATGCAAAATTTCACATCTTTAACGTTTTTATTAAACTAATGATCAAAAAAATAAAATTTCAACCAAAATTTTATTGACAAAACAGGATCACCAAAATTGACTATTTTTTTTTTCTTCTTCAAAAAATGATTGTTGAAAAATGCACATAATAATCATACCCAAAAATTTAAAATTCGATAAACAAAGTAATAATAATAATAATATCTTGTTGGCCATTCATTATTTTCAATGACTGCTTCAACTCTCCTTGACATACTCTCAATCAATTTAATTAGGACATCATGGACAGCCACTTCAATTTTTTGTAACAAGATCTTTTCTATCAATGTAATTTTGAATAGTACAAGTCACTGTTTTCCTATGAACACCAACAATTTTAGTTATTTTGTGGTTTGATACATTATTTTTATATAGACCAATGATTTCACCACATTGACTTTCACTTAAGGGTTACATTTTGAGTTTAAAATTTTTCAAAGGAATTGTTCAAAAATTTATTCAAAATGATGTTTGTTTACAAAAAAATTCAAAACAACATAGATACTTATTCAAGACATTTGTTGTCACATGCCAAAAACTTGAGCTTGGTTATTAAATACGTTTTTGTTCAATTAAATTTTTTTTTGTCAGAAATATTTTTGGAAAAAAATTTTGGTCGGATTTTTTATTTTTTTAATTGTTATTTTCCTAGGCACGATAAAAATTTTAAATTTTGCATGCAAAATTTTGAGAATCTAAGCTACAAAATGATATAAGTTACTTGTGTTTTTATTGTGTACGTTTTTGCGCAATTTTTGTTTAAAAATGCGCCTGAGTTTTGTCTAGTGAGTGTACCTTGATAATTTAAGAAAAACGCAATAATCTTTTTATTCTGTTAAATTTATGCGAAATAAATAATATTATTTTGCTCCACGATAGTCTTTTTATGACTGCATACTTTCTAAATACCACACTACTATTAATTTGCCATTAGCAATATAAACTTGAACGCTTTGATGATTACACTATACTTCAATTTAACAAAATATCACCATCGCCCCAATTCTTGATTCAATAACTAATTATTTTGCTTTTTATAATCATGTCTAGCCCCGACATTTTCTGTATGGGAACTATGTTGGTCGCTAAAACTATTTTGAAGAGGCAAAAGTCAATACCAAAATTAAAAGTCATATGTCAAAACTAATTTCGACTTATGGCGAAACCTATTGACTTTCACACAGTTGAAAAACTCTAGCTTTGGAAACTAACGCTAATGGGAACCAGGAAATAAAATAATAAATTTTTACTTGAAGTTTATATTAGCTCATGCTAATGGTCACCAACAAATTCCCGCAATCTCCTACAACTACAATCACAGGGCTGGCAGCGTAAAAGGCTAGAATCCTGATTTAGTAAAAATTTTATTGACTAAACACATGACTAAGTAGTAATAGTTTAGTCAGTTTAACCAAGTGTTCATTTGAGTTGCGCAGCCAACTTTATTTAGCACAAACTCGCGTAATATTTTGTAAAGCTTACAAACATGCTTTTGCAAAACTTACAAACCCTAATCTAATAATTATGGCAGATCCCGTAGCGTAAATTGAATTTCCTGATGGACCAATTGCGGGACGTTGCGCTATTTAACATTTATTTTTCTAAATGTTGTAGTATCTTAATCCCGAAACTTGGATTTATGCTCAATCCAGGAAAGAATGGTTAAATAAAATGCTTAATTACAAAAATCTCATCCAGCCTCATGAGAATGATTTTTATATGTGAGCGCAGAAAGAAGTGGTATCTTGAGACCAAAGTATTTATAATGATGTCAGGCGATGTAAGTAAATTATGTTCTCTTCAAACAGGTAATTAACTTGTGGGTTTAAAAAAGAAAACTTGATGACAACGACGAAGAAAATAATGATAATGACTGTAATTTTAATACTAAAACATTTTAGCATAAGAAAACAACAAAATCAATCCGGCGCAACAACATTCAATCTCATTTCAGGATTAATTGTTGATTTTTTTTTAAATAATGTCTTTTTGGTAATTTTATCTATAAAAAGGAAATCGCAGTTTCACGAAGTTGGTTGCGTTGTGATAAACTCTCTATTGATCATGATGCGATCATGCCAGGAAGGGAAGAGAGAAGTCAACATAGCATGTCGATGTTGATGTTGAGGTGATGTTGAAGTTCAACTTTTGTTAAACTTGATTTTTGGGGAAGGAATTTTCTGTTAAATTGCAAATATTCATTTTTTTTTTTTTTTTTGTGTAAAATTGGCTTACAGATGAATATAATTATTTTTTTCCAAGGTCGTAAAGCCTTTTTACTTTCAATGACACCTGATAGCATTCCGTTTTTTCTTTTGCTAGTCTTTTAGCTTTGCTTGACTTTCTCTGCTACCTTATTCCATGTTGAAACCAACATGAATTTAATAATTATTTACAATAATAAGAAAAAATCAATATATATCTTTTTTTTTGTCATGAACTTCAGGAAAATAAATCTCATGTAAACCTACGTAGGGTTTAAAACTGACCAGAATTATGCGGAAATGTTAACAGAATTACCAAAATATCGACATAATGCTGGCCAATTCTGAACCCTACGTAGGTTTATGTAAGATTTATTTTCCTGATGAAGACAAAAAATGCATTATTATCTATTACTATTATACCGAGATAAAATCATCATATTTTAAGAACTATTACATTTTTGATTAATTAATGAAAGAATTACTTTTTCAATCAATTATCTTAGCAAACAATAAACCATTACTTTTTCGATTAATAAAACTATTAATTTCTTTGATAAATAAAGAACTATGACTTTAATGAATGAGAAGTTCTTCGCAAACAAAAATATTACTTTTTTGATGTGAATCACATCAACCAACTACCTCCTTTCTAAATAAACTATCTTGCAGTTACCGGATCAAATACCCGATGTAATAAATAATAATTTTCTTTAGGAAACGCGATGATGATGACAAAACGATGAAAATGGTAATGACAATACAATAATAAATAAGAACAATATTTTCGATTATCGGATATTTATATAAATCATCAGATTGGTAATTAAAAGTTACTATTAAAAGCAAAGCATGTATTGAATGTTATGATTGTTTCATTTATATTGTTATATTGGTTTTATTCAATAAGCGAGACTGTGTCCGTAGCACCAATAAAAAATAATTCCTCAATTATAATACTCAAAGTGTTTATAAATTCTTTAAGAACCGGTTCAAGTTCAGGACTAGTCACAGGATTGATAACTTTAGTATCAAATATTTATTTTCAACGTATTAGGTACTCGAGATATTTTATCGAATATTTTTATTTTTGAAGTTTTAATTATTAAATCCTTTAATTTTATCTATAATTTCAGCTATAAAAACCAATATTTCTTCTGATTCGTTTCCATAATAAAAATTAGTGTCACATTTTACAGTGATCCATAAATAGTATATTCATTTGTACCACAATACTTTTTTTTATATTCTAAATTGGTTAATTTATAATAAATAAAAAACCCGATCACTCGCTTTTTTGGATGTTCTTTGTTCTTTGAATTTTTGCCCGAGGTTTTCACTAGTTTTTTGGATATTGATATATAGTCCTGTTCTGTATTTTTCTTTTTATGATTATAAAGTTATAAATGATAAATATAAATTGTTAAATTATATGACCCCTTTGTTTGAGGCACAACTTGATTTATAGTTTGACATTGAAAAATCAAGTTGATGAGGAGTTTATTGAAATTGTTGTATTCAGATTCTATACGTTTTTCAAAAAGTCCACGACAAAAAAAAGGTAGTAGTGGCGAATAGACGCTTGATAACGATAGACTAGTGCCCTTTTTATTGAATTATGGCAAAGGATTCTTTTCCAATTGTATAAACAATCCCTGGTAAAACTGGTTATCCTTAACCCCCTTAATTTATCATTACTATTATTTGTTTATAGTAAATGCAAATAACGATTTTAATTTATTAAATACCGAATGATATCATCAAAATATGGAAAAATGAATATAACTCTAAAACCCGATAAGTTAGACACAGCAATCAATTGTTTAAATTACTTTAAAATGTGTATATTTATATAAACGATCTATTTTTTTTTTCTCTCTTTTTTGAGAGAAAAAAATGCATGAAGAAGAAGAAATAAAAAAATCAATATTTATAAATACAAAATTCCCATTTTCGCTCATTTTAACTGATAAATCGTGGTATAAAATATCAAAAGATTCCAAAGTAAGAGCAAACTGGATCATTAAAAACCACGGAAAAGCACATTCATTTTTTTACACAATTCGCTACGGTCATAACTTTATATCATTAGAATTAGTTGATCTTCTTATCAAAGAAAACGTGATTTTATCCAGATATCTCGTGCAACGATTATTATTACAATTCGGAAAAACCGACGATAGTTTAATTGAATTAAAAATACAAAATGACATCAATGCCAACAACAACAACAGCAATAATAACAACATGGATCAAGGAATATCTAAAGCTTTTCAAAAATATTATAGGAATCCTTGGGCCTCAAATATTCCAGTAGTGGTATTTGTAGCTTTGTTAAAA